GGGCAGGCGGGCGCACGAACACACGGCACATGCAGGAACGGTTCTTCGGCCGCCGCAGGTGCTCAGCAGAGCCCGGCTGCAGTGCAGAGCCATGATGTCAAGCAGCTGGAGGAGAAAGAGCCAAAGGGCTGGTTGGTTGCCTCTGCCCGACTGGGAAGCACCCGTGAAAGACGACGAGACCCGAACTTGTGTGCTGGCTTGCCAGAATACTTGGGGCACAGGAATGGGTGTCGTAAGCGCAGGTTAGGGGACAAGTGGCTGGAGAGCAGCGCTTGTGAAAGGGACCTCGGGGTGCTGCTTGACTGCAGGCTAAACATGAGTCAGCCGTGTGACGCGGTGGCCAAGAGGGCGAACGCCACCCTTGGTTGCATAGCCAGAAGCGTGGCTTCTAGATCGAGAGAGGTATTACTACCACTCTATACGACTCTAGTGCGCCCGCAACTGGAGTATTGTGCTCGGTTTTGGGCCCCTCATTACAGGAAGGATATGCCAGGTTAGAGTCAGTGCAGCGAAGGGCCACAAGGTTGGTGGCCGGTTTGCAGGGGAAGCCGTATGAGGCGAGACTGAGGGAACTGGGTCTCTTCAGCCTGGAGAAGAGGAGACTCTGAGGGGATCTGTTCGTGACATACAGGTACGTGAGGGGGTGTCACATGGAGATGGGTAGAGACCTGTTTTCCCTGCAGAGGAAGGCAGGACGCGCTCCAACGGAGCAAAGCTCAGGGAGCCAAGGTTCTGTTTGGATGCCAGGAAGCACTTCCTGACAGTCAGGACCCCAAGGGTGTGGAATGGGCTCCCCCGGGAGGTCGTTGAGCCCCATTTCGGTGGGGCTGAGAGGTACTGCTTGGGGCAGATTGCTTGCTCATGCGGACCCGCTCCGGCTGGTGCTGCCCAGAGTAGCTGGTTGGCCATGCTCCTGCGCCTGGTGGCTCAGTCGGAAACCAGCCCTGCAAGGAGGGCCAGGGAGTAGCACTTGGCTCTTTTTCCCGGGCTGGGAGAGAGTCGACCACGACCCGGTTCTCTGCCCGAGGCGGTGCTTTCCCGGCCTCTGTGGACCGCCATTGTGCAATTTAATGCCCACTTCCGCGGGGCGTTAACGCGGGGCAGACGGCGTGTTCTCCACACCTCCGAGGCTTCCTGCTCAGAGGGGACAGATGGGCCAGACCGAGGGGCAACACACGCTCTGACCTCAGTTCTTCTCCATCCTAGCCCTTTTCAGCCCATTTACAGATTGCAAGTCCCTTGGGGCAGGGATCAATTTAAGTGGCTTGCAACAGTCCCGTGTAAATTAAGATCACAACAAAATCTGTTCAGGTGCAGGAGCAGCTGGAGGAGTAGGGAACTTCTCCGCCAGCTTCTTGGGTTTGTCCATGCTGGAAGAATGGGCGAGGAGCACCACCTTCCGACTGGCAGCTTTATGGCAGGCTGCTGGCTGCCAGCATCTTTTAGCAAAACGGCTGCTTCGTAGGGGAACTGGAGAGCTTGTGCTTTGTGACAGGCCCTTTCTAACACGGGTTGCTTCCAATTCCGTGATTTTTTCTGCTCTGCTGCTTCTTTCTATAGTTTAAGGTGTTAGGCTTCCCCTGAAGACAGTCCGAACACTTCAATTGGTGCAAAATAGAGCTGCCAGGTTGCTGACGGGGATGGGGCGTTATGCTCACATGACTCCAGTCCTCCGTCAGCTTCACTGGCTTCCCATTGAAGCCCGGGCCCAATTCAAGGTGTTGATTATGGCCTATAAAGCCCTAAACGGCTTGGGTCCTGGCTACCTGAACGAGCGCTTACGTCCGTATATGCCCGACCGCCCTTTGAGATCTGCGGGAGAGTCCCTTCTCCGGGAACCCTCCATGAAAGAAATTAGGAGAGTAAGTACCCGGAGGAGGGCTTTCTCTGCGGTGGCGCCCAACCTATGGAATTCACTCCCCAAAGAGGTCCGCCTGGCACCGTCGTTACTGGTTTTTCGGCGCCAGGTAAAGACCTTTTTATTTAAACATCATTTCAATTGTTAAAACATATGATCTGGCCAGGGCAACTTCTTCTTCCTTCTCTTTCTCCCCCTATATTTTTATTTTATACTGATAATTTTAATTTTATATTTGTAAATCAATGTATTTTTTGTATTTTTATATTTAATGGTAATTTATTATGTACTATTGTATTTCAATGTATTTTATCATGTTGTAAGCCGCCCCGAGGTTTCGGCAAGGGGCGGCATAGAAATGTTATAATAATAATAATAATAATAATAATAATAATAATAATAATATTGCATTTTACCGTTGAAACTTGGCTATGCTGAAGCTGCAAACTGCATGGAAAAATGACCTGCAATATACAGCACTTCTAGAGAGAAGCTGTAATCCTTGCTCTGGTCTCCTTGGGAATTTAAAGCCCCCCCCCCCCCCAAGCCTTCAAGGCTGGTGTTGCTCACATCGATCTGTCCGTCAGGTGCTGTATTAACCAGGTGGAGGGCTTGCCTTGTGGCTTTCCAGGAGTTTAGGCCCTACAATTCCCAGTGCCTTAGCAAGTTTAGCTACTGGTAACGGATGATGGGAAATGATATGCGGGGAGCAGGGCACGACTAATCCCGCCTTCTGAGACTGGAGAGAGACAGCGGTTTCCCAGCTCAGCTTTGAGAGCAACTCTCTCTCTACTCTTTGCCTAACCTACCTCACAGGACTGTTGTGATACAGTAAGATGTTAAAATATAAGAAACCGAACTCCAGCTGTATGAAATAGAATAAAGCAGAACAACCGCTTCAAATTCAGAGTAATAACATATATTGCTCATTCTTCTCACTGCTTCTATAGGATGAGATGTAGATACCTATTATTTTCTCTGTGTGTCCCCCGCCCCCCCCCAAAATCAAGTGGATTTTGTTGCTTTTTAAACATTGATTTTCTTTAAAACTGTGGATTAGGAAAGGCAGGATAGCCAAGTTATTAAAATTGACACAAGATGAGCCGATCATGGTCCATTCCTACCCCAGAGAGACCCGCTCCCATGCCTGGGGCGCGACCCTCCCACGCCTGCACCCTCCACCAGCCGATGGCGCCACGTTGGGCCCCGCTGGGAGCAGCACCGGGCCTCCAAGGCGCACCCTTGGAGGAGCCCCTTCTTCGGGCCCCTCCGGAAATGCCACGGCCACAGCAAGGCGCATCTTCTGGCCCATCTTTCGGTGAGCGACGCAGCGTCCAGTGGTCTGTGGCAAGCAAGCATCTCTGCCCGACTGCGGAATCAGCCTTCCTTTGCCCAAGGGGGCAGCATCCTGGAAAAGGGGACAGACCCCCCCTTGGAAAAGAGAGCGAGAGCCTAGGCGGAAAAGAGCCCGAGGGCTCACAAGGCTGCTTGACTGAGGCCCGAAGCCTTTCAGGCCAACGCCTCCCTTCCCCCGGCAAGGGCCAATTGCGTGGGCGGTGTTTTAGTGGATCAATGGGGTGCCCCCTTAGTTTGAGGGGAGGCACCAACGTGGGCTAGCGCAGGGAGATGTTTTCACTGAAAGCACACCTGTCCCAGGGAAACGCCTCGCCTGCAGGGACGAGGGAGGCGTGGTGTGGGGGGGGGGAGAGACGGGGAAGCAGGCAAGCAGGATTGGAAAGCACCATGGGAATTAGGGCGGGGGGAGCACGATGTCAGATTCCCCCCCCCCAGCGGTGACATGCCTTGGCGAGAAGGGACAGAGAAGTGGGTGCAACGAGGAGCACGAAAAGGGGGCCGGAGCACGTCCTCGCCACCCCTCGGCCCGGCTCAGCTCATCCCTCCGGGGCCTTCCCTGCGGGGCTGGCTGCAGATCAGATCGCATTCCAACCGCCTGGAAGGCACCTGGTCAGAGAAAGCCACCTTGACGCTTACTGAGGTGAGGCCTCATGGAAAACCTAAGCCAGAATCATGGACCGGTGGGGCCGGAAGGGGCCAGCCCCCTGCACAGCCCAGCCAGAACGCCAGTCCAGCAGCCATTGGCCACCTTCTTCTGCCAGGCCGGTGCCTTCCTGAGCTCCTCCTGGGCTGGGGAAGCAGCACCACGACATGGGGAGGCCCCACTCGCGGGGCCCGCCCTGGGTGCCCCTCCGCCCGCCTGCCCCTCAGAAATGAGGGTTACCCACAGCCGCTCCTGCAGCAAGCTCCCCTGGCAGGGGGGACCACGCGGAATTTGCAGCCCGCTGGCACAGACGCCGGGCAGCATGGCGCGGCTCACCTCGGGGCCCTCTGCCGGAGGAGAAACACTGTGGAGCCTGCCGCCCACCCCGCTGCAGGGAGGATGCACCCGGAAGGTGGGCTGGCTCGGGCCACTGGCTGGGGCGGCTGCCGGACAACCCCTTCCCTCCGCCGGGGGGGGGGGGCAAGGCTGAGGCAGGGGGCGGCCAGGGAGGCACGGCAGCTGCGCTTCCTGTGCCAAGGCAGGGCATCAGCAGCTCTGTTGCGGGCCAGCTGCTTCCTCCCCGCGGGGGTTTCTGGACATGTCCACGTGTCTGCGGTCTTTGGCGCCAGTTCTCCTGAGACGCCGTGAGAACACCACCTGGTATTTTAGGTATCACGAGGAGCTTTGCTACTGCAACCAGGCAGACCCTCCTCTCCCACTCATGATCTTCGGTCACTGGCTTCTGTGTGGAAAGGGAACCGGTGCCGGATGTGCTCCAAGACGTCCCTCCTGCTCCGCCTCCCCGCCTGTCCTGGCCTTCCCTTTCTCTGGGAGAGGCTGCTGTCCAGTGGGGATCTGAGGATGGTGCCGCCTCCAGCGACCCCTTGGGCCCTACCTTGGTGCCCCCACTCAAGACAGGCCTCTGGCCTCCCTGGACTCTGGGATACTGGTCTAATCATTAACATTTTTAAAAGCACCCAAGTTCTGAAAAACCTTTGATGGCCCTGCCAGCTTGAAAAGCCAAGCTGCAGCAAGCTGCCTGCAAGAACAGCCTTTGAAGCAATTGTCGCCAACCATTCAAGAGACAGCAAAGAACAGCTTCTGGAGCCAGGCACAAGCTCCGTAAGATTGTGGCTCGCCAGATTATTGGTGGTGGTGATTTTTTATTAGAAAGGAAGCTGGGGGCAATTCTTACAAGTCAACCGTTAAACGGGTTTAGCACACGGAAGATGAGGTGGGTGCCAGGAAGTCGCACGTCTTGTGTGCACGCGTGGCTTGAGCGGGGCGCAGACCTCCTGGCCTCCAAGCAGGGCCCGTGCGCGCTCCGAGCAGCAGAACCGGGTCCCCATACGCTTCGGTTCAGGCACACCCCTGTCCCCGCAGCTGCGGCTCCCTTCAGCCACTTGCTACACAGCGAGAGGTGGCGCGGGCGCTGCACAGATCGGGGCCTCTTCCCACCTGCCCCTCTGCTTGGCTGCCATGCCCATGAAGCCGACCATCCCTCCTCCACCAGGACAAGCCAGGGCCCCACCCCTCTCATACCCCGGGCAAGTCAGGGCTCAGCTCCAGTCGCCTCCCGGCGTGAACACCAGAGCAAGGAAAGAGGCGCCCCCAGGGCCTGGGGGAGTTCAAAGGACAGCTGGGCGAGTGGGGGATTGGTGGAGGGACAGGCTGAGGAGCAGGAAAGGGGGATGCAGACCCGGGGGGACAGAGTCCGTCTGGGGGCCCTCTGCACAGAGGGACAGCCATTCAGCGGGCCAGGGGGCTCAAGGAGTCCAGGCCTCCACTTGCTGGCCTCCCCCAACAAACCGCACAAGAGATGCCCCCAAAATCCAAAAAAGCCCGAGACCCTAGTGAGTTCCAAGGAAAGTGTTCCAGCAAAAGGGCCCCGTCGGCTGCTAGTCAGGTCTCTGGGCCCAGACGGAGCCGCCGGGGGAGGAAGGCCGGCACGCCCCTCCAGCCCCCTCACGGCTTCAGCTTCAGCCACGGGTGGACAATGGCCAGGATGGAAAGGACGGAAGAGGCCGTGCCGCAGAGCCCCACGAACCCCGCGCCCGTCTTCCACAGGCCCAGCCTGTCCAAGGGGATGAAGATGTCGCAGGCGTTCTTCACCACGTCCAGCAGCAGGGGCGGGTTGCTTCTCAGCACGTGCCCCAGGAGGCGGAGCTGCAGCTTCAGCCGGACTGCCAGTTGCTGGAGCCGGCTGTCTTCCTGAGGCACGGAGCCACCGTCCCCACTGCCGCCACCACCGCTGCGGCACTTCCCGCTCGCCTCCCGCTCCATCAGCAGCCGGATCTCGTAGGCGTCCCGGCTCAGGTTCAGGATCAGGGCAAAGAGGTAATACCTGGAAAGGACGAGCAGAAAAAAAGGGGGAGCCCTTAACTCATGCAGGGGAAGGGCAGCATCACCTGGTGCCAGGTGTGATGGCAAAAACGGCTGCCGCTGAGACCCCGAGGGACCCCACCTTCCTGGCCCGCTCATGAGCTCCTCCTTGCCCGGAAGAGAATGCTGGGGCACCCGGGCTTTCCTGGGTCCCTCTGGCCAGGCAGATCCCTCTGCCAGGAGAGGGAATCTGCCCTGGACTCAGACTTCCTTCTGTCCCAGTCGTCATGGCCAAAGGTCAGGGGTGACGGGAGCTGAGAGCCCAAGCGGGCCGAGGGTTCCCCACCGGGTGCCCAGCCCCGGGCAGTCCTGCTTGAGTCCCCATTCCATGTCGAGGCGTTCAGGGCACTGGACTGCGATCGCCGGCAGCCCACAGAGCAGGGCGCCCCGGCCTCTCTGGCCAAGTGGGGCGGTGAAGGAAGATGCGGCTACAGCTCACCTGAATGAGCGCTGGCCCCACTTCTCCTGGTCCAGGTGTGGGACGAGGCCTGACTTCCCTGCCCACAGAATATTGTCGCAGGCGAAGTACATGGCACGGTTGAGGTGGCTCACGGTGATGCAGAAGCGAAGAACCATGTCCGACAGGTGGATGGCCCGCTTGGCCGCCTCCAGGGCGTCGGCAGAGTTCCCCAGCCGGAACACTGCAAGTGAACGCCAGAGACGGATCGGCATAACCCACAGCACTTCTGCGCCTCCGAAAGAGACCTCCTGACCCCCCCGGCCTCTGTCTGCCCACGTCGTTCCCCCCCTCGGTCTTTTCCCCTGTGTGCCATCTCTGTTCCAACTGCAGGCTTGTGCCCAGGGACCTTCTCTGGGCCATCAAGCAGCATTTTAAATACGCTCCAACGGAACGGTGTGCCCAGCGCACGTCTGAACGCATCCCGGCAGTAGCAGGAAGCAGCCTCAGCAGCTACTCTGACAGCCCCAGGTTCTGGCTGCATCTTGCCGGCAGACTGGAACACCAAGGCCAAGTTTGTCTTCCCCTCATATAAATACGAGGACCAAAGGTCACTAGGAAATGCACCGCCATCGGACTTGGAGCAGAAAGCACACGATCCATGTGTGAGTTGTGGAGTCGGTGGTCACAAAATGCGGGAGCTGCTAGCATGAACGCAAGCGGACAAATCCACGCAGAACAAGACTGCAGGCCATGCCTATTTCAACAGACAAAACTCCTACAACTCCCAGCATTCCCCAGTGCAGCTCCTGTTTCTGCCTAAGCACATGTAGGGCCGCGCCCAAGTCCCTCAGCGACCCCGAGGCCGCCGGGGAGCAAGAGCCTCAGAAGGCTGCTGCCACTGGGCCTGCTTACGCTCTTCTTAGAGGCATCTGAATAGCCACTCGGGGGGGAATTGCTCTCTGATTTGGAGTGGCCACTGCCTCGCCTGGCTTGGAGGAAAAGGAGAGGTGGCGCATGGTGGTCACACTCCAGCCCCTCCCTCCTGATGACCTCTCCCAGCGGCTTCATGCGGATGTTGAGGAGCACGGGGGGATGAGAGAGAGCCTGCGGCACCCCAGGCCAGAGCTGCCATGGCGCCGAGCTATGGTCCCCCAGTGCCGCCTTGACGAACCAGCTGGCCATGTAGGAGGCACCACCACAATGCAGCGCCTCCCGCTCCCCACCCCTCCAGCCCATCCGGGAGGAGAGCACGGTCGAGGGCGCCAAAAGCTGCTGAGAGGTCCAGAAGAAGCAACGGGGTCGCGCTCCCCGTCTCTTTCCCAGCAAAGGCCATCGCAAAGGGCACCAAGGCAGTTTCTGTCCCGAACCAGGCCTGAAGCCCGACTGAAATGGGTCGGAATGGTCCGTTTCATCCAGGCGTGCTTGAAGCTGCCCGGCCAGCATCCACTCAAACACCTTGCCCAGGAAGGGGGTGTCAGCAACAGGCCCGGGTCCAAGCTCGGCTTCTGCAAGAGAGGCTCACTCACAGCCTCCGTTAACAAAGCTGGTGCCCCTCCTTCCTTCGAGGAGGCATTCAGAGCCTCCTAGAGCCAGGTGCAAACCCCTTCCTTAGTCAGCCACGATGGCAAGGGTCAAGTGTGCAGGTGCCTGGTCGAACCAGCCCGAGCACCTTGTCCACATCCTCAGGCCTCAATAACCGAAATTCATCCGACAAAATGAGACCAGACGGTGCCCTGGATACCTCTGGTAAAGGAACCACAATGACGGTGGAGTCCAATTCGTGGAGAAGGAGAGTGAGTCTATCCTCAGAGTGCTGCACAAACTCACCACAGGGAGGTACTGAGGGTTCAACAGTATTTTTCTCAGGCCCCGATTGAAAAAGGCCACGAACCACTTGGGCAAACGTCTCTGGGCGGCACGGAGAGGACGCAGTGCTGGTGGGAATGGACAGCCTCTCCGCCACCCTCACCACCACAGAAGAGGCCTGGAAGGGGGCCCCAGCCCGCCTCCGGCTGACCCACAAGCTTTCCTCAATGCGGCTCCCTCCACCTGTGCTCTCACCGCCTCTCCTCCTGCCTCTGGTGCATCCCAAGGAGCCGGCCAGGCTCTGCTCGAGGGCAGAGAGTGTCTGAGTGTGATTCTGCCAACTGCCTGGGCCACCTCTGCATTCCCCAGAGTGACCTGGACTTCGACAGGAGCACCGGAAACTCCCCCGGAGCCCTCTGGAAGCTGCCTGGATCCATCGGCCTCTGAGGGCGGCCAGTCGAACAGAGCAGGAAAGGGACTGAAGACCGAAACCTCCATGGGAAGTGAACTGACCATTACAAGGGGCCGATTGTTAATCCCCCCACTTCCAGATCACCCTCTTCCTGTCCAGTCCAAAAAAAAAAAAAAAAAGGTCTAGAATTGTGGAACAGCAACATGCCGAGACCACTCCATGGTTGTTATGGCAGCCATGAAGTCCTGAGCCACCCCAGGTAATCATCCTCAGCAGGGATGCTGATGCCCCCCAGAAGCACCGTTCTGGGGTTCTCACCACCAGGTCCAAGCCTACCTCCGTCATTCGCACCATTCGCACTGCACCACCTACAAGTCCAGTGCCCAGGTACTCACACTTGCGCCCTAAACTCAGGTGAGCCTCCAGCTGCTTGATCCGAGCAAGGAAGTCCGGGCTGGCCCCATTCTTCTGCAGCATGTAGCCCAGGAGGGTGCAGGTGTACTGCGCAGCCCTAAGGAGAGGAGGAGGAGGGGGTGACAATCCCCGCAAGTGGTACAAGGAATCAGTCAGATGCCCCCCCCCCCCGCATCCCACAGTGCAAGCCAGAAACACGACAGCCAAAAGGGGGAAGGGGGATGATGTGCTTTACAGCGCAAGCGGTGTACAAAAATGCAGGATGAGGAACATCTTTCAGTGCAGAGGCAGGATTCGGTTTCAGGGAAGTCTTGGAGGCAGGATCCCAGAGGCATGCAGGGCTGGAGCCAACAAAATGCCTTCATCTAATAGATTAAAGCTCTTACTACCAGCAGCTAGACCTTAAGAGAGGAATTTCAAACTTTCAGAACAGGGAGGAACTGTACGAAATCCAGCAGCCACCACACAATTGGTGGTTGGAAGAAAGAGGGTGGAGCCAAGGGAAGAGGTGTGGCCACCTGGGGACCCCTGGAGAGCCAGATCTGGCTTGCAGGCTATGGTTCCCCAATCCATCCGATGAGGAGAAATTTGGGGGATTTTAAAATCTGAAGAAATTGTGGAAGTCTGTGTGCTCTAATCCATCTTCATCACTTTGATTTTAGAAATGATATCATAATATTTGAGATCTTGAACAATAATGTTTTAAGTGCTTGCACGGGATTCTAGCTAGCTAGCTTCACACAACTATATTGCACTTTGTGATTTTGTACCTGCCTCTAACAAAGAGCAAGTACCTGAAAACACAGGAGAAAAATGATTCCTGGGATGCTGTATCAATAAATCAAATCGCCAGCACTCCTTGGGTTGGGTTTCTTAATTGCTGGTCGTTACAGATGACAGGGACCTCGACTGACACATTAGGATCCCAAGCAGGTCTGATCTGGCCCACCCCTCTGAGGTTCTGCAACCCTGACCTAGAGAGGCACAGCTCAAAATTTAACTTAAGATTTAAAGAATGTCCAGGCTGCTCATCTGCTTTACTTTTCTTTACCTCCAACAAGTCGGCCTCAGAAGTGGCAATGCAACCTATAAAACCAGGATAATCCTGCACAAAGGCCAGGGAATCACCAAAGAATCAGTGCCTGGCAGAAAGGGTGCTCTGGGGATTGCAAGAGGGCTGGACTGGCACGCCAAACCTGAGGTACTACTCTTCTGTCATAGATGAAGTATGATGTTAAAGAAGGCAGCATGTTTTTGTGCAGGAGTTGTTGGGGATCATGGGTGTGTGCATACGTGCCATTTTACTCCTCCCTATGGCTTTCCTGTCAGAGCAGCTGGCTGGCCACAGTATGAATAGCACGCTGGACCAGACGGAGGCAACAAGACTGCCCTTATGAATAAAGGCTGCAGCATTTGGGACTATTTCTCTTGAAAAGCAGCTGAGGGAGGCGTGAGAGCCATCAAGTCCCACCCCTGCTCAGTGCAGGACTGCAAGTTAAAGTATCCCTGACAGGTGGATGTCCAGCTGCTCCTTGAATGCCTCTAGTGTGGGAGAGACCACAAGCTCTCTAGGTCACTGGTGAGGGCCACCAACCTGGACAGCTTGAAAAGGGGAGTGCACAGACTCCTGAAAGAAGAGAAAACTATCGGTGGCTCCAAGCGCTGATGGCAGGGTCGGGCAGGACACCCACCCACACCAGTTGCTGAGGACCATGGGTGGGAAAGCGCTGCTGCACCCGCATCCCACTTACAGGATTCTGTGGGCAACTAGCTGGGCACTCTGCGAACCCTTGCCTGGACGAGATGGAGCCTGCCCTGGCCACCGTCGCTGCCGAGGCGAGCCTGCCACGGCCAACGATAAGCACAGAGCTGCAGAGCAGGAAGGGGCCATCCAGCCCAGCTCCCACCAGGGGCGTTGCTTTGAAAGCGGCTCCGCGCGCCCTTCCCGCACGCCCGCCCTCCGCAGCAGACCTGAAGACCCGCTCCTTGGCTTGGCTCTGGGCGCTGAAGCGCACCCAGGACTCCATGGCGCCGCAGGCCCGGCCCGGCCCAGGACTCCCTCAGCTCCAGGAACCGCCCGACGCAGCCCCACCTCGGGCCCGCGGCCTCCTCCACCGGCCGCCCAGGGACCGCGGGAGGACGCAGGCGCTCGTACGCGAGAAGCGGCCAGGCCCGTCTCCTCGGCCGCCGCACCACTTCCGGGATCAGTACAGAAGCGCCCGAGGGACAAGCTTAGCCGGAAAAGGTTTCGAGGGAACGCGGCAGAGACGTCGCTCTCTTTCTGGCTCTTCAAGGGCCGCGCCGATTGGCTCGTTCCGAGGCGCCTGGCCCGGCCTCCCGAGGCTGAAGCGGCGGCGGTTGGACACCGTCCAGAAGCGCCCCGCCCGCTGCTTGAGCGCTCCCAGGGGCTCTATTGGCGGGCTGTCAGCGGCTCTGCGCGGGCCATTGGGCGAAGCTCCTGCGCGCCCCGCCCGCGCTCTGCCATTGGCCGGCGGGCGGGCGGGCGGCCTGAGGCGAGCGTGACAGGCAGCGCCGCCTCAGCCGCTCGACGGGCCGCCGCGATGATGGAGTCGCTGCGCGTCCAGCGCCTGCAGCCGGGCGTCGGGGGCGCGCTGCGGTCGCTGCGGCCCGGCGTGACGGCGGGCGCGCTCCCCGGGGCCGCCGCCTCCG